TGTTGGCAAAGTAATGTCTCTGCTTTTTAATGTGCTGTCTAGGTTGGTCATAAGTTTTCTTCTAAGGAGCAAACGTCTTTTAATTTCATGCCTGCAGTCACCATCTGCAGTGATTCTGGAGCCCCCAAAAATAAAGTCTGACACTGTTTCCACTGTCTCCCCATCTATTTGCCATGAAGGGATGGGACCAGATGCCATGATCTTAGTTTTCTGAATGTTGAGCTTTAAGCCAGCTTTTTCACTCTCCTCTTTCACTTTCATCAAGAGGCTCTTTAGTTCTTTTTTGCTTTCTGCCATAAGGATGGTGTCATCTGCATATCTGAGGTTATTGATATTTCTTCCGGCAGTCTTGATTCCAGCTTGTGCTTCATCCAACCCGTAATGTACTCTCATAATGTACTCTTACTCTCTCCTCTTATCCTTTTCTTTTTGAAGGTGAAAGAGCGTTCTTTACTTGCCTTCCACCCCCTAGAACTTCAAATGCTCTCCTACGGCAAGACTTTCTCGTGATGACACAACTCCATGAATTGTAAATCTGTATCAGAACCTGGTTCTTATGACCCAACAGAAGCTAAATGTTAACAAGGAGAGGGGAGAAATTACGGGCACATCCTCTGAACAGAACTCTAGCTTTAAGCTTTTGAAGGAGGGGCTTTGTCAAATCCTGTCACCCTTTTCAGATTTTGCTCACCCTTTTGTTCAAGGCTCTGCTCAAGCTCACTCCTCTAGCAAGCCTTCTCCAGTAGCCTGCTCCCAGTCCCAATGCGAGTTCCTTGCTCTTAGTGGGAGGCGGTGTAACAGTGGTTAAGAGCACAGACTGAGGTCTGTACTAAAGTCAGTCTTATTCATTTATTGGACAAAGTGGGCAGAGGGAGGCACCGTCGGTGACGAGAGTGATCAGTACATTCAGTCTATAGCATCCTTCTCTTTGAGACTCCCTCCAGATTAAAGAGTGAATCAAGGATACTATCTGTGTTCTTTAAAGACAAAAGAGTTGAAAACACAGAATGAGGGTGGAAAGTGACGGCTCAGAGTCTGCCTGAATGTCCCTCCCTTCTCTGTGCCATGGACAAGCTCTTCACGCCTGGTCCACCTCCACCGTGAGCCGCCCGGGGCACGCTCCCCAGTTGGGCTTCGTCTTCACAAGCGGTGCCATCATGGCTGTCCCTTGGGTCGTCGTTTTAGAGCCCTTCTTCTATCTCATTTGGAGCCAATGGTTCTTGTCTCCTTAACTCCCTTCCCTGCTCCAGGGGCACAAGATAGACCAGGGCAGAACTAGTCCCAAGGGAGGCGTGAGCGCCCAAGGGCTGTCTTTGCTAGAGAAACACCTTGGAAGCTTCAGGACAAGCATTTTACACCAGGGTTTCTTAAGCTGGAGGCAGCAGATATGTGTTCAGGGATCTGAGTTTTCTGCCAGAAGTTTTAAAGATCTGTTTTTTGACTTTTAAAGATATGGACATATAGTTGATGCACAATGTTGTGTTAGTTTCAGGTACACACAGTGTGATTCATTTTATATATATTCTTTTTCAGATTCTTTTCCATTGTAGACTATTACAAGATGGTGAATATAGTTCCCTTGTGCTACGCAGTAGGTCTTTGTTATTTATTTTATATATAGTAGTGTGTGTCTGTTGATGTTTTTTCATCTTTTGATGATAGTCTTTTTAAAAACCCACATAAACATATTCTAGATCACCTTATAAACAACAGTCACCAAAGAGCTGAAGATTCTTCCTGGATTTCAGCGCCTGTTGTGGAATCATTGCCTAATGAACAAAGAACCAAGGTGGATATAGTATCTAAATGATGCCTTTGAGCTAGCTGAAGGCCTGATATCCTCACAACATGATCTGTGAAGAAGTTTCTCTGTTGCTTAAGAAATAATAGTAAACTTTGGAATAGTACTACGTACCAAGTGTGGTTCAAGGGCATCCTTAGTAACTCATGTAATCCTTGCAGCAGCCCTGTAAGAGAGATACCTTTATCATCATCATCTCCATAATCCTTATGAGGTCACTGAGGCACAGAAAGGTTAAGTAACTTAACCAAAGTCTCTCAGCCAAAGAGGACCAGTACTTAAATAAGAACCCAGATAGTCTGGCTCTGAATCTGCTCTTCCTCACTGTGTAGCCTTCTAAGTAGACAGAAACAGTTCACCCTCTCATCTGCTGCAAGTTGTAGAAAATAATTATGCTTCCACAAAAAACTGTGCATTGCCTAGACTCTAATCTCCTCTGGAGGATGTGATTCTGGTTTTATGGAAGGTATTTTACAATCTATTAGTTAGAGATAGCTGATAGCAAAGATAATTATTGTCTATAGGTATGAAAATTGTCTCCTATCTTGTAGAGTTCAGTTAACTCCTCTCTCACCCCTGTTTGTGCATTCATTTCAATATTCCTAATTTATACATGCCTTTATTATTCAGATTCTTTTTTGAACTTGTTAGAACCCCTGCCAAGTTCCCTGGTTGATTAATGAGTGAAATAAAATCTTTAACATGTCTTCATTTTATATCTGTAGGAGAGCCACGATTTTACCCATTTTGAAAATTATTTTTTAACAAAGGTATTTCTCGGCCCTTAGCTTTTCGATGAGGCCTTCCATGACCTTGTGCTCACACACCCCAGGCTCCCACCCCCTTAACCTGCTTGATTGCCTTTCCCTGTAACACTGTTTTTCCAAAATACTGTGTTTTAATAATCATGTGTTTGTTGTTTATGGCCTGCCTTCTCCCATTAGAATGTAAGATTCATGAAGACAGAGGTCTTTATCTCCTTTGTCTCTGATGTGTCCCAAATACCCAGAGAGTGTCTTGGCATAAAATGGATACTCAAAAAAAATTGAAAAAGATGGAGAGAGAATTGAGTCTCTCTCCTCTTTGTATGGTATAATTGTATGAATACATCTTACTCAAAATAACTTACATGACCATAACTTCTGTGTTGGTCGCTTCTCAACCAAGCATCATGTGTCATATGTAAGATTAATTGTTAATTTGCATAGGGTGGGAGCGATCAGCTGGTTGTATAAGAACTATAAACCTTGAGGCATTTATATCCATTTTTCTTCTTAATATTGAAGGGAGACTATAATAAGATATTTAGTGAAGATGATTTGCCCACATGAGGACCTGTTAATTTTTTGCCTCCTGCTCCTTCCAAAGGAGGGATGTGTGTTATTCAGATTTGACAAACTGTTTTAAATGATCTAACTATCCTCCGCCATGGCAATATCTAGGCTATAAATTACAGAGAAGGAACAGCTGGGGCAAATAGCAGGTAGCTCTGTTCTCTGGAGAGGCCTGGAAGAGGCCTTGTCAGCTGCTGTGACCGTGGTCTTGGGTTAGTTCCAGTAGAAGTGCTGAGAGAGAAACCATCTGCAGCCGGCGGCAGGGTTGAGATGCAGCCAGGGAGGGTACAGAGAGTAGCTAATGCGGAGAGCATCTCTTCCAGTAAGAGCAGTGACGTTTCACAGTGGATCCTCCTAAACATGAAAGTGCAGAGCTTAATGTTCACATTAAGCATGGCATTATGAGCACTATAAAATTTAAAGAATCTTTCAATCAATAAAAATTTAACCTTGAAAAAAGAGGAAAAAATAAGAATAGAATCATGTGCTTTCCGTGAAATTAAAAATAATTTAAAACCATCAGTCAATGATTTTTGCAGCTCTCAAATTAGTTGATGAGATTTTAAGATTTCAAAGGATCATGTGTTCATATGAAACATTAAATTTTATCGACTCTTGGAAAAAGGAAAGAATGGCATTACCATACCTGATAAAATTTTGTCCATTCAAAATAAGGTCTAAGGGGAAAAAAAGAGTAACATTTTCTAGCCAACTTAAAGTTTGATTTGGGAAAATTTTTTTAAAGCAAATTATAGCATTTCTTTCATGTATTGTACATAATTTAAGTGGAGAGTTGTGGGAAGTCAGCTAAATGAGGCTAGGCTGATGAAGCATATTAAGTTAAAGCAGACCCCTGCTTGTATAATAATGTATCAAACATAAATCCCAACTATCAGTGCTTTCTTGAACTTTTTATTTAGTGAGAGCCACAGGATGCTGCCTGAATTATACACATTCTTCATAATGGCAGCCAGATACACTGGACTTGATTGTACCTTCATGTTAAGACATAGGACTTTATTAAGGAGTCTAGGCATCAAGGAATTAATTTTTAAAAAATCACTAAAATATATATATATATATTTTTGGTGAGAGATATATTAATTTTGATCAATTTGTGTTGGTGGCTGGGGGGAGAGTGTGTTCCCCTAGCCATGTGTGAGACTCTTTTCTTTGCCAGTGTCCTTGACGGGGGCAAAGTTTGTAGCTGGCAGAGGTGTGAAGCGTGACTGTACGTGAAAACAATTGTGTAAATGATGACACTTCATCACAGTTACTGAGGTTGGAACTAAGATCAAGGTGACGCTGAGTATCTTAGTGGTGGGAACCACAGCGGTGAGAGCAGTTGCTGACCCGTCCACCCCAAGCCCAACATGTTCCCATTGCCTCGCGTGCACTCAGCCATTTCCATCACCAGGGAGGGTGGGACGGGTGGAGGCCAGAGTGGCCATGGGGGGCCCACTGTCTCCCAGCACGACTTCTCCCGCGTGTAGAAGTGGGTGACAGATGTGTGTCGCTGTGATAAGCTTGTGGGGATGTGTTTCTGAGACTCACCTCTGAGTAACGTGTGGCTGGGTGTTGCACAGTGAAGGCTTGTGTGACTTGCACGCTGGCAGAAGCTGGCGGACCCAGCAGCGTGGAGTGGCTGGAGGGCTGGAGAAGGAGAATGGGGCGTCAGCGGCGGGTTTGCCGTGCGTTAGGCAGGAGTGCCCCGATGGCTCAGTCACCTCCGGTGCAGCCCTGTTACTCACATCCACCCTCTGAGGAATCCTCCCACCCTCAGCGGTAGCCCGCTCCAACAGCTCCATGTGGGAGAGTGACGGGCAGGAAGGGGCTGCTCCTCCGCCCACCCCGCCTCACCAAAGCTCTGAGTGTGTGTGGGCAGCCCTCTGGTTCCTGGTGCTCGGCTTGTGCCGCTCCTTGGCCCAGCGCATCAGTTCTAGAAATCTGGCAGGGCCCTGACGAGGGTGTCTGTGTCCCTACTCTTTGCTCCTCTGCCTCTTCACTTTCCTCTCATATCTCCCTTTTCCTTCCCTCTTTCCTCCTTTTAGCTTTGCTGAGGGCCGAGCCATAGCACCTATGGTCATTTATGTGGCCCACTTGTAACCCTCAGAGTAAAGACAGGATTGGCCAATCCCCCTGCATAACATGCTTTTTCATGCCTAGACACACCTCATGATTGTGAATGTAAGTTTACAGTGTAAAGATATTGTAGCCCAGCAAAGAGAGTTTTTTAGAGTAAGACATTGTAATAGTCAGCTCTTGCTGCTATGATGCTGCGTAACAAACAGCCTGAGAGCCGCTGGTATCCAGCAACATTTATTTTTCTTATTGGTTGACCTCAGGGGCACTGCTTCAGACTGTGATTTGTGTGACTTTGCTCCAGGTTTTGGGTCGAGCTCAAATTGGCTCCACGTGTCTCATTTTTGGGCCACAGCCTCACAGTAGTAACAGGAACACAAAAGGGAAGGCGCAAACATTGGAAGCCTCTTAGACCTCAGCTGAGAAATGGCACATTGTCATTTCCGCTCATCATTCCATTGGTCAAATCAAATAGCGTGGCCATCCCCAAATATCCATGGGATGTGGGAAAAGTACTCTACCCATTCTGGGGCACTGCTGCATGCTCACTTGAAAGGGAGAAGGAGTGGAAGATTGAGAACAGTTATCTGGTCTACCATACAGTAGGTCCTCATTGTTTATGCCTGGGGCACATGGCTCCAATACACAGGGTTGGAGTGCCATGGGAAGGGATTCCAGGAAGCACAAGAAGCTCTGAGGAGTCCTGGTTGGGAGAAGCACTAAGTGTGGAACACATGGAGATGTTTACGTTGTCCTCCTGTTCCATCAGGAACGTGATGGCTCATATCAGAGGTGGGGGAGGTCTAGCGGCTAGAGCCACTGACCCAGGAATCCCTTCCATCAGACCTCCAAACCCACTGGCAGCCTTCTGCCCTTTGGAGCAGGTTCCTCCGAGCATCCACTTTAAAATTTTAGAGATATTTGAAAGCTTACTGCCTGAAGGGTTTGGGTGCGAAAATGCCGAAGAATCTGAGACCGCTGTTAGCGATTCTTAGTGCCAGTGATGGGGAGGACGCTGTGGGCCATCCTCAAATAATCGCAAGCTCATATTCGGAGCTGGAGCTGGCGGGCTGCTGCGTCTGCATCACCGTGGTTGTGTTTATGAGACTCATGAGATACAAAAGGTGGTTTTAATCCAACAAGGAAGTGATTTACTGTCTTACGGACTGAGTGGCCATTGTGGTGAAGATTGATTTCTGAAAAGAATATCTCTTTTAAAGAGCCATAAATAAAAAGTGCCCTATGGGTATTTGAAGAACATTACTATTCTGTTTCTCTTTAACTGAGAAACCCATGTTGCTCAGAGAAACAGTAAAATGTGTTCTTTTGGCTGAACATGTGAAAGGAAATAAGGAAATAAATATTATTGGAAAGCTAGGTATTTTTCACATGAATCCCCATGTGGAAAGGGAAAAAAATGATTGGTCAGTCTGAAAGCTGCCCCTTTAAGAGAAATGCAGGAGAGGAGGTGTGGAGTTGACAGAAATGTTGGTACAGATAAGTCTCCCTGTGGCTGTTATTCTGGCTTCTGGGTCTCCCAGAGTCGTGCGCTTCTCACTGCGCCCTAGTTCCCGTCACCCTGGCTGCCTCCTGGGGCTTCAGTGTTCCCTCTGTGCATCACGGCACGATCCCTACTTCTCTCTGGCTTTGTCCACACCTCACAACTGGCCTTCGAAGCTTCTATCTGTGCCAAAAGCCAGCGTTCCACCCTCTGGACATCCTGGGCTTCCTCATTCCAGCATCTTTCCCAGATCGAAACCCAGGGCACTTCACGTGTCCAGTCATGAGGGTTGAGCTATGAAGTCTTGAGACCAGCCCAACCGCCTCTCCTTTCCTGATGTGCAATTGTTGATGAGACAAATGGGCATTGTTGTTGTTATTTTTACAATCAGTACCCCATTGCCATGAAAGTCTTCAAATGTCTGAAGTTGGGAACTGCCTGGGAGAGTGGGGAAAAATTTCCTTGAGAAGGTCCCGTATCAACTGGGTAGTGCTGGATGAGTAGGATTTCACCAAACTCCAAGCTGAGGAACAGCATTTTAGAAGGAACAGCATTTACAAAGTCCTCAACAGAGTCAAGGGGAAAAGATAACATTTTATAGGCTTCCTTCTCATAGTGAAGAAAAGCGTGCATTTCCCATCTCTGTGCTTGTAACAATGGTGGACTTTTTTTTTTTTTTTTGGCTGTGCAGGGTCTTATTTACACATGTGGAATCTTTAGTTATGGCATGCGAACTCTTAGCTGTGGCATGTGAGATCTAGTTCCCTGACCAGGGATTGAACCCAGGCCCCCTGCATTGGGAGCACAGAATCTAAGACCACCAGGGAAGTCCCACAAAAGGTGTTTCTATCTGCAATATGACAAGTGCCTGAGAAAGAGACCAACTCTTTAAGTGGCAGTAACTGATTACTCAGGTCTTTAAGCATGTATCGGTTGGGCATTGGGCGGGGTTATCAGAGCACTGGGAATACAGAAAGTAACCTAACAAAGTCCCTTCTTAGAGAAGGTCCTCATGCAGCACACCTATTGATATACCCCCGGCCCCTACGTAACCGCACTTAGCCACTCCGGTGCTTCATCCAGGTAACAGCCTAGAGGCTGACCAGCGAGGGAGCTGATAGGATGAACGGTACAGACGCCATGTTCGTTGCATGGGCAATCGTGTGTATGAGGACTGATTCAGGAAGGGGCAGTCCATTCATCGTTTTTTCACATCATTCCCAGTGTAACCCTGTCACCTGTGGGGGGGGGGGTGTGGCGAATCCCGGGGTCACAGGGCGCCCCTGCCTTTCTGAATCGTGGCTGTTTGCAGGCATGCCGCCAGATATGATTCAGAGTGGCGGCTGGGACGGACGAGAAGGTCTCTTGCTGAGGTTGGCGGGGCGGGGGCGGTGCCGAGGTGCCCCCCGGCCTCGGCAGCTGCACTCACGCGCCCCCCCCACACCCCCCCAGGTATGGAGAGTGCAATCACGCTGTGGCAGTTCCTGTTGCAGCTACTGCTGGACCAGAAGCATGAGCACCTGATCTGCTGGACCTCCAACGATGGTGAATTCAAGCTGCTCAAGGCAGAAGAAGTGGCCAAGCTGTGGGGACTCCGGAAAAACAAAACGAACATGAACTATGACAAGCTGAGCAGAGCCCTGCGGTACTATTATGACAAGGTAAACCTCTGCCATTTCGGGGGGCTGTCCCGGGGCGGGGGTGGGAGCCGCCGTCACAGCCTGCTGAGGACAGCGGGAAATAGCGCAGAGTGTGTGTGCGCACGCGCGTGCTCAGCCACAGCCAGCTCTTTGAGACCCAGTGCAGTAGCAGCCCACCGGGCTCCTCTGTCCACGGGATTTTCCAGGCAGGAATATTGGAGTGGGTTGCCATTTCCTTCTCCAGGGAGTGTTCCGTGAAGGGCATCAAATAGGGGCTGTGGATGCAAGTTTGGTTGCTGTTAAAGAAAGGCTGTGCTATAGGGACTTTTTTCTGGCAGCCCTTTAGGTGGTGGTGTTTTTGTTGTTTAGTCTCATTAGTTGTGTCCAACTCTTTCTCGACCCCATGGAGTGTAGCCCGCCAGGCTCCTTTGTCCATGGGATTTCCCAGGCAAGAATACTGGAGTGGGTTGTCATTTCCTTCTCTAAGGGATCTTTCCCACCCAGGGATTGAACCTGCATCTCCCGCATTGCCAGGTGAGCTCTTTATCACTTAGCCACCAGGGAGGTCCGCCCTTTAGGTGTTACTGTGGGTCAAATTTTGTTGCCTCTGCATTTTCTTCTATGGTTGCTGCAAAAATTTTCTCACAATAGAAATTAGATGCAGGGAGGTTCTGGGGCCTTTGTCATAGGTAGAGTGACAGAATGAATGTGACAATCGAGAAAGTCTGTTTATCCTGTCTGGTTTGTGACTCACTCAAACAGGCTTTTCCAGGGCGGGGAGGGATGGTACCTGGGGCAAGCTATTTAACATTTGGGTGCCTGCTGTCCTCATTGATAAAATGGGGCTTAAATAGTGTGGGCTCAGGACTGCTGTGTAGAACTAAACAAGCCAGCATATGTGGAACACTTAGAGCAATGCTTGGTACTTGGGGATCACAACTTCGTGGGAAACCTCCCTAATTAAAAGCAAAACCATTCTCATGTTTAAGTCCCGGAAATAAGTCAAAGTGCTTTATTAATGATAACACAGCATAGTTTCCAAAGCCTGGACAGTCGGAGTGAGCTGTAATGCGTTTCTGGGAAAGCAATTGATGTGCCTGCTGGGGCAAAATTATTGCTATTGAGGGGTAATTATTTCAGGCCTGTAATTGTTGACCATTTCTGTGTGGAGCTATTGTTGCTGAATATTTAGCCTCATAGACATAAAGATTTGGAGTCCTAATAAGGGTAAGCTTTTGTTCCGGTTTTACTATTCATGTTGAAAGGTGAATTTAAAACTGATTTAAATATTAGTTCCTGAACTATCTTTAGTGCCTTCCTCCTGCCAACCTCTTTGGAATTCAAGACAGAAGGATTACACATTTCAGGAAGTGGAGGCATCGTTAATTACAAAGTGTTCCTTTATATGATCGTAATTGCATATGATTATGTCATTGAAATGTTAAAGGTGCTTCCCTTTAATGTAGCAATTAATTAATGCTGGCTTAATGCAGAGTCCCATCAAGATGTAGAAAGCACTTCTCACAAATTGCACTGTCTGGAAGCCTCACAGATGGTTTATTGTTTTGCCTTTTCCCAGGTTCTAAGTCACACAGTGAGAACTGGGGCCCTCTGAAGGAAAACTGTCATCTTGCTGGCTGGCAGAATGCCTAAGAGCATGACTTTGAGACTGACAAAACAAAAAAGTGATTTTATAGTTTTAAATCAAGGTGTCATAGGAAAGGGGTTTGGGGTCTGTGACTCGGTTTCCCCTTTTTCACATGGCCCAGGCATCAGGACGGAGGACTGGGACTTCAGCCCAAAGAGAGAGCAGAGCCTTAAGGTGACTTCCCCAAGAGACAGGCCAAGTCGTGCAGTCCAGTCTACATCTGATTTTTAAACCTCTGGGGAAAGCAGTTTCAGATTCTGCAGTCACCCTGCATGTTTTGTTCAGCCTGGTCTCCACACCCCCTGAGCCTTTCCTGCAGGCGTCTCTTCCTTTATAGGTAAGGACGTGGGCCTTCGATGGGAACCTTGCCCACAGTCCTGCAGCCAGAGAGTGGTAGAGCCAGGGTGCCCAAGTTCCTGCCCCGAAGGCACATGCTCGGCCTTCTGAGCCATTTGTTTCCTGTGTCTCTGAGCACCTGATCTCCAGGTGGGCAATCAGACAGCACGAAGGGTGTCGCAGCCTTGGACGTTTTTGCTTTTCATGGAGCACCCCGGGTCTGAGTGGCCAGTGTGGCCTGCTCACCCTCCTGCTGGCGGAGCGAAGGTCTGGCCGTGTGACCGTCGTGCTGGCAGCTCGCGCTGAGCGAGGGCCAGCGTGGCTCTTGTCCAGATGCCGGGCAGGCTCGGCCACCAGGAGAAGATGCCCTTCCTCCTTCCTTGGGAACACGCACACCACGTGCTCATGTGTGCGCGCGGCCGTTTGACTCTCTCTTAAGACCTGCAATGGTCATTAGACACTGAATACAGGGTTGTTGATTTTTTAATACGGTTTTTTAAAATTTTTAAGTTATTTATTTCGGCTGTGCTGGGTTTGGTAGTTGCACCGAGCAGGCTTAGTCGCCCTGAGGCACGGCTCTTAATTTCCCAACCAGTGATCGAAACTGTGACCCCTGTATTGGAAGGTGGATTCTTCATCACTGCACCTCGAGGGGAGTCCTGACACCAGACACTAAATATAGTTTGAAGTGAAAAGAGAAGGAGGAAGGACATGGGGAGAAGTGGAAGAAGAGAGGAGGGGGCCTGAGTGAGGGGAGAGAAAGAACAGAAAGGGGGAAGAAGGTGGAAGAAGAGATGAAAGAAGGTTAAAAAGTATTTTACATTTTGTGATGAACACTTTTTTCAGTTTTGTCAGTGTGACTCTAGGACTCTATGTATAACTTGAATGGTATGAAATTGGCAATATCTGACTATGTTTGATCCACAAAAACGGCAGTTTTCATGGTCCGATCTCTCACCTGAGAGAGAGTCGGGGTAGGTCTCTGTGAATGTGGAGCCCCTGACCACGCAGGCACCCTTGCTGGGCCCCATCCTCACTGCCTGTGCTTCTCACGGTCCCCCGGCCCTCCTGTGACCCTGCCTGCCTTGCAGGGCCTTCCTCAGTCCCCGTCCTCCTTGCCCCCTCCCCTCCCCCGCGTCCCCCTTGCCCAGAACCTGCTCTGCACGTGGCATGGTTAGGTGATGCCCCACCATGCCAGCTGCTGCTTTGTTCCTGTCGTCTTCCCTCCTCTCTGCCAGCTCGTGTCTCTTCACTGTTGGCTGAAACTGCATATCCCTTGGTTTGTCCTAATAGGCAAGTTTTCCCGCCAGAGTAAGCAGGCATGAGGATATTGTTGTTTTTATATGCTGCATGTTACATTTTTAACCCAATCTAATACTTAGAAATGGGCAGAGGGAAAAAGTGGAAAATGTATGCAAAACTTTGCAGAAGACATCAGAGAACAATGTATGGGCTAAGATACCAGGTTGGGGCTGAGGCTCTTTAATCCTTGTTCCTCAAGGGGATGCCCTCAAGTCCCACGCCCCCCCAGCCCCGGGCAGATTATCATAGAGAGAACTACAATAATAGCATTAACTCTGGGCTACATGGTTTGGATTTAAATCCAGCTCCATGACTAAGTGCTTTGCCTAATTTCTCTTGGCCTCAACTTTAGTTTCTGTAAAATGGGTATAAGAGTAGAGACTATGTCATAGTATTGTGGTAGGGATTAGCTAAGTTAACACATGGTTAGGGCTGAGCCTCTTGATGAAGGTGAAAGAGGACAGTGAAAAAGCTGGCCTAAAACTCAACATTCAAAAAATGAAGGTCATGGTATCCGGTCCCATCACTTCGTGGCAAATAGATGGGGAAACAATGGAAAAAGTAACAGACTTTTTTTCTTGGGCTCCAAAATCACTCCAGATGGTGACTGCAGCCATGAAATTAAAAGCTGCTTGCTCCTTGGAAGAAAAGCCATGACAAACCTAGACAGTGTATTAAAAAGCAGAGACATTACTTTGCTGACAAGGGTCTGTCTAGTCAAAGCTATGGTTTTTCCAATAGGCATGTATGGATGTGAGAATTGGACCATAAAAAAGGCTGAGCACTGAAGAATTGATTCCTTTGAACTGTGGTGTTGGTGAAGACTCTTGAGAGTCCCTCGGACTGCAAGAACATCAAACCAGTCAATCCTAAAGGAAATCAGTCCTGAATATTCATTAAAAGGACTGATGGCTGAAGCTGAAGCTCTAATACTTTGGCCACCTGATGCGAAGAGCTGACTCATTAGAAAAGACCCTGATGCTGGGAAAGATTGAAGGCAGGAGGAGAAGGGGATGACAGAGGATGAGATGGTTGGATGGCATCACTGACTGGATGGACAGGAGTTTGAGCAAGCTCCAGGAGTTGGTGAAGGACAGGGAGGCCTGACGTGCTGTAGTTCATGGGGTCACAAAGAGTCGGACACAACTGAGCGAATGAATAAAACAGGTCTAAGAACAGTACCCAAGCATGTTCAGTGCTGCCAAGTGTTAAGCCACAATAGTAATGCAGAGGCTAGTTCCCTGAGCACTTATTTGAAAAATTCAGGCAGGTGCCAAGAAGAAAGTTAGGACTTTTGTGCCTGTGTCCTGCCCCACACTGGGGTGGGCGCGGGTCGCGCATGTCCTGGGTGTTAGAGCTCTTCTTGCTCATGCTAAGAAATGCTTTGTGCTGGGTTTTTTTTTTTAATATTTATTTATTTATTTTTGGCTCTGTTGGGTCTTGGTTGTGACACATGGATCTTTGTTGCCGCGTGTGCTCTCTAGCTGTGGTGTGCAGACACAATTGCCCCTCAGCACGTGGCATCTCAGTTCCCCGACCAGGGATTGAACCTATGTCCCCTGCACTGGAAGGTAGATTCTTAACCACTTAGACCACCAGGGAAGTCCCTGTGGTGCTTTTTAATACTATTTTGGCTGATTTGAAAATTAAGCTTTCACAGATGCTTTCATATTTCAATGACACCTCCCGCCCCTCCTAATCAGACACTTCCCCGTGCTTCCCCGGGGGCAAGCCT